TCGTCTTCAAGCTGAGGCCCTGGCTCTGGGCAAAGAGCTGGTGGGTGGACCTGGTCCTTCTGGCCTGGATGGCAGCCTCCGAGGAACTACTGGTTCTCATACTTATGCTTGATGTGTTTCCACAGCTTCTGCATTTTAAAAACAAGAACAACAAACTTAGTTTCACCTCTCACATTTACAACTATACTTCACTGCCTTGGTCTCTAAAACAAGCTTGACAGAAATGTATGCCACATCCTGACTGTTGTGGTGGGCAAACTGGAAGTGACTCTAGGCTTGATTTATAAAATGTTTTGATGTTCTCAATCACCATATGATGTAAGTGCAAAGGGATCATCTTACTTTTGAGGAACAGAGATTGAGGGAACTGCCCCAAAGCACACAATTATTAAGGAACAGAGCCTGGAAATGTCTTTTGTCTTCAACTCCCAGGTATTATTCAAGAAGTCCTAAATGCATAGTCCCTAAACATTTCACATTGAGCCATGTTTTATTAGCTTAGACCTATGATCCTTGGGGTAAGGAACTAGCTGGATTCTCATTCCTAAAAGCAGACAAGATGGGAGAGTCACGAAAACGTAATTAGATGCCTTTCCCAAACACTGGGAATGGCCAATGGGACTGCTTGCTGGAGATGGAACAGTGGCAGCACTTTCCTAGGAGCAAGAAGCTGGCCATAGGAAGTACAGCATTAGTAGAGACAGTTGGCCTGGGCTGTAGAGTCAGACAACTGTGAATTAAAAACATGAATAAATGGTGGAACAGGGCTATCTGTACAAGACCGTCCCCAGTATGATACACAACTTAATGATATAAAGCATGCACAGAACCTACCACAGTGTCTGTCTCACAATAAGTCTAAAAGATGCTGTTATTCCCTATTTTATGCTTCCACTTTGTCCTGAATAATGCAACAAATGCTATTTTTTGAGTAGTACCACCTAGCAGGCACTGTGGTGTCTTGACTATATCTCAAATAACCCTCACTATAATGCCGAGGTAGTTACTATTATTGTCGTCTCTCTTTCACAGGTCAAGGTGAAGCTCAAGGAGGTTAAGAAACTTGCCCAACTTAATGTCACAGTTATTAAGTGACATGGCCCAGTATTCCCATCCACGGCTGATTTCACAGCCCCACGCTTAACCATAATTAATAGCACGCTACCTGCGTGGAAAGCCTACGGAACCGAAACTGCTATCTGAAAAGGCCAGCCACAATGTGTAAGGAGATGTCCTTTTCGCGACCGTTGCCCGCTCAAATCTGCCCTTCAAACCCTCAGAAAGTGGGGGGCCCGGTTCCAGCCCAGACTTGCCACTGACTTCCTGGTGGTACAGCCTTGGTAAGTCCTTTGCTCTCACTAGGTTGTAGTTTTTGCTTGTGCAAATGTAAAAGTGGGTATGTGGGAGATGGCAAAATTTACAACCCCGGCCAAGTGGGATCTATTGACCTTGTTTAACGTTTTAGGATTCACACCCGATGGAGAGGACAAACGGCAGTATACAGACAGAAGAGGCCCAGGGTTTACCACCCGCTTCCTCGTAAAGGTATCACGTACCCCCTCCACTCCCCCTGACACCCCTTTGACGAGCCCAAGGTCAGAGATGGCCTAGGCCCTCACCCCCTGGTTGATGTGTTCGTAGATCGCGTCCGCGCCTTGATCGAAGGCGCGCTCGAAGAACAGGGCGCCCACAGCGATGGTAAGGGCGAAGGTGGAGGTTCTGCGGAATAGCAGGGAGTACAACCTCCCAGTCAGCGTCGGGGCCGCCATGTTTCTCCACTGTCGAAGTCGCGCTACCGCGTCTGCGCCACGGCCTCCTTTGCTCGCCAAAGGCCCTTAACGCGCAACACTTTATGGGATTTGTAGTTCCTCTGAATCACGGTGCTAGTCGTTTTTCAATTAGAGGTAACTCATGGCTTGCGCGGGAGAAAAGTCTCATGAGACTCAAACCAGGGCAGCCCAAATTGTTTGGTAAGACTTATTACACAATTTCACTCCCCGATCATTTCCTGCTGATTAAATATTTCGAACTGGGCAACACCCAGAAGCCCTCGCGCTCCCTCCACCTCCCTCCCGCGCCATCTCAGCTTTGATTCCCAGAGGTTTACTGGCCCTCATATGTGGGATCTGAACCGGTGCCCTCTGGCATCCCAAGTCAGTTCTTAACCATCACGCCATTCGGCCAGCCCGACCTGGTCCTCTTTACTTCCCACCTCCAAACCCCTCGGCTACCCTGGCCTTTGCGTTCCTCAAACATAGCAAGTGCTGTGACTTCAAACCTGGTACTTCCTCTGCTTTGCCTCCAACTCCCAAGTTAAGTGACTCATCTTTGTCACCAGTTACCTCTTCCCAGGCTTTCCTTGACCACCCTATCACTCCTGGTTATTCTCTCTCCTTGCAGTTTCCCCAGAACCCTTGGCCCAGTCTGTATACGTCTGATGGCATTTAGTGTCTCTGGTAGGAGTTCTAACCCCATGTTCTGCTTACCACCACATGCCCAACACCTGCCTAGATCAGTGCCTCCAATAGTGGCCACCCATGTTTGAATTCATGACCAGAATATGTCCCCTGAACCCCTTCCTCACATTCCTACTGTTCCACAGCCTTCTAGCAGAATCTTCTGGTTCTCTGGGTCCTTCAGCATCCCCCGCAACTCTCTACCAGGAGTTACCTCCATGTGCCATGATCTGTGACTGTGTTAACAGCATTTAATAACTCAATACTCACAAAACCCCCATACTTCTATTACCCCCATTTTACAGACCAGGAGACAAGCTCAGCAAGGTCAAGTGCCTCGTCCTTGGTTCACACAGCTAGAATTGATGGAGTGAGGATTCAAACCCAAGTGAGCACCATTATAAACCGGACTCATTAGATAGCAGACCTATAGCAGAAGGCTCAGAGTTCTGGTCCAAATTAATCATCAGAGTATGTATGGGCTGTAGCCCAGAGAGGTATGGCAGCTTTACCCAAAGGCACTCAGCAGAGTGCAGACTACACTCTGGGGAATGGGGTGGCCCAAGACCCTCAGGCCAGGGTTTTCCCCCAGCTGATGCCACAGGGCTTCCCCATGGCCAAGCCAGTTAGCTCCCTCTGTGTGATTTAAGAATGGAATTATCAGTTCAGAAGCCAAAGTTGAAGCTAATATCTCCAACTCCAGTGAATGTTTTGAAAACCAAAATTCTTTGGAAGTTAATGGGAAACCCCAAATCATGGAATCTGCCCTTCAGATGTTTGCAGAAGACTATGAAATGGTCTCAAATAACTGACATGTGAAGATCAGATAGAGTTAACAAAGGACCCAATGCAGAAGCAGGTCTCAAGGACAATTTATATTTATTTGCTGATGACTCTGACCAAACATACTTCAAACATAGCAGAAGTTAAAGAGTCTGTCAGGTGCAGCCATTTCCTGCCAACAGCTACAGGTGGTCCATGGAGAGTGATGTGAGCATCGTCTTCAAGCTGAGGCCCTGGCTCTGGGCAAAGAGCTGGTGGGTGGACCTGGTCCTTCTGGCCTGGATGGCAGCCTCCGAGGAACTACTGGTT